CACCGCCGCCACCCGCAACACCCCCAGAACCCCCGCCGCCCTTCCCTCCCTTCTTGCCGGACTTGCCACGTTTCTGTCCGCCAGAGACAGAAACGGCCGCCGTCTCCTCAGAGGCAGAAGACGCGGCAGTGGCAAGCAAGGCAGTGAAGGTGGGAAGCTGTGGTACCGCACACCCCTCAAAGAGACGAGGAGGAGGCGCGGAAGAGGCGGAGGCAACAGCGAGGAGGTTACTCTTGATCTTCGAGAGAGCGGTCTCAAGAAGATCGATAGTAAGTTCAGTGGGGTGCGTCAGGAGAAGCGCGTCACGGGCTGTGGCTAGACGGTCAGGGAGGCGAGTGACTAACCAGTGAATAGTGAGCCACATGGGGGGGGGTGCAAGGGCAAGCTGTTCCTCAGTGCAAGCGGCCTTGAAGCGAGCTTCAAGGGAGCGCAGGTGGGTAGCGAGGTCAGTGACAGTCTCAAAGGAGGCGAGGTCAGGGTAGATAAAGGGGACGAGGAGGCGGCTGAGGGAGGCAGAGGAGGGAGTGGAGTAGCGAGCAACAATAGCAGTGTAAAGGTCTGCAACAGACTCGACCTGAGTGAAGTGGACAGCCTCAGTCGGCGAGAGAAGGCCGGTCAGGGCGAGGCAGGCAGCAGCGTCACGAGACTCCCACACGTCACGAGCGAGGAACCGGCGCTGGTACTCAGCCTCCTGCTCGAAAGTAGGCGGTGGGGTAGTGGGCAGCGGTGAAGGCTGCGGCGGGGCGGGCAGAGCACCGGACGCATGCGCAAACAGGTGCACGCCATCCTGGCGCTGGCTCCTAAGGTGGCGCTGGGCCTGCGTCAGCCAGGTACTAAAGTCGATCGCACGCCCCTCAGGGTCGAAACGGAGCACGCGAGACGTCGCCATGAGGGGCGAGGACAAGTGATAGCGGCCGCCACCCGCGAGAGGAGGAGGAGAGGGAGGTGAGTGCGAGGCGGGTGCGTGCAGGCGGGGCGCGCACTGGCTGGGCGCGGGGCGGCGCGGCGCGCTCCGGCGCGGCGCGCTGGCTGGCGTGGCGCGCGGGGCGCGGCGCGCTGGCGGGCGGCTAAGCAGGGCGCGCGCTGGCGGGCGCGGCGCGCTGGCGTGCGCGCTTGTGGGGCCCGCTGGCGTGGCGCGCTGGCGGGCGCGCTAGCGTGCGCGCTGGCGTGCGTGCTGGCGGGCGCGCTGGCGAGCTCGCTGGCGGGTGCGCTGGCGGGCTGGCGTGCAAGCGGGCTGGCGCGCAGGCTGGCTGGCGCGCTGGCGGGCTGGCGCGCTGGCTGGCTGGCGCGCTGGCGGGCTGGCGCGTTGGCTGGCTGGCGCGCAGGCTGCTGGCGCGCTGGCTGGCTGGCGCGCTGGCTGGCTGGCTGGCGCGCTGGCTGGCTGGCTGGCGCGCAGGGTGCTGGCGCGCTGGCTGGCTGGCGGGCACGCTGGCTAAGGGCGGGGAGGGGAGGGGCGCGCCGGCTGGGGCGTGGGGTAGGGCGCTGGCGGGCTGGCAGGGTGCAGTGGTAACCCTAGTGGTAGGGAAGGGCGGGCCTAGGACTAGGAGCGCTAACCTACTGCTGATACCATGTCAGAATGAGAACTACAGCGGAATGAGTTGTGTTGACAGAATTGGGGTACATCACCTAACCCTAACTAGTTGTACCCCATATAGCCCAACCCACTACAGGCTATAATATTTGACACTAGTTTAGTCGCGTAGTATCACACAACATGTAAAATTTTTAAAGTTAAACATCTAAAAAATTTGAAGATTGTGATTCGACTAGAAGAGGAGTTTGCTGTAAAGGAGACAAACTCCTTTTCATTCCCGCAGGTCTCTCAGACCTATGACGACTGCACTGCACACTCCTCGGAGAGTCGTGTCACGATCTTTTCGTTGATGGGAACAAATAAGTTAAGCGCCTTTGTCGTGTCAGAACTCAAGACACAAAGCGAAGCAGCTCAAGTCGAAGCATCGCGAGTCAACCCTTGGTGGTTAACGTAACCGTCGGAGGTTACGAGAAAGTCAAAGGTCAGCGACCTTTGACCTGACGCAGCGCGACAGCAAGGACAAACAACTGACTCGACATTGAGCAGTTGCACGAGTCGCACTGTATCGAACCGCAACAGTAAAAGCAGTTATAATGTCTCTTCATATTCTCTGTACTCATCTATTTATATTCTTGTATCTCTTTGCTTTAATTAACTTACTTAGCCCTCACATACTAGCGCAAGGTGGTTCTAGGACTTTATTCAACGCTTCCGCTATTACATCACTTACTCAGACTTTAACTCTACAAAGATCCTAGGGCGTTTCAACCCAACATTCGTTAGGTGGTCTACCTCCCTTCACCATCTCCCCTTTTTTATATGTTGTACTCCCATTGTTAATGCAAACTTTCTTCTCTTGGCCAACTTTCTCTTCCCAAAACCCTAGCCTCTAGCTACTATTATAACGTGGTATTAGAGCAGCAAAACGTTCTAAGGACCTAATTTTTTCTTCACGGAACATAGGCCCGGCCATACCACTGTTGAAATTAAGGTTAATTCGGCTTGCTCCAATAAACATATGTAGTGGCAGATCTACACTGTAGTAGTGTAGAATACATTGGTTGGGCTAAGTGAACTTTTGATGTACACTCTTCAGAGTGGACCACCTCCCAGACCCTATGGGTTATGGTTCTTTCTTGTTGGAACTTCACTTCTTGGAAACCACTTTAATTCTAATATGGTTCATGCCCAAGTGGGCTCCTAAGATTCATAGGTTTTATGAGGAGGTTCTAAGACTACTAAAGCTTCCGCTAATAGCTTAGTCTTTCTAACATGGTATCAGAGCCAGGTTGGCCTAGCAATCTGTTGGAATAGGAGCTACTCAAGAAATTTGATCATAACACCTTGGTGGAAGCTAAATAGCTTCCATCCCTCTCGAAGGGCTGCCGAAATTGCTAGAAATCGTGTGGATCTATTCACGGAGACGCCCAGTCAACTTTGGCCGATCAAGACGTCCAGCATATCGTTCGAAAGGCCTTAACACGATATACAACAATTGCCTCCGGGGTGTTAGGAATTGACGAGCGGATCGGACGCAATTCGCGAAATACAGTCGGCGGACGAATTGGAAAATCGTGAATCGGGGAAGAATTAAAGCGCGGAAAAATGATTGGAGTGCAGACACCGAAAGAGGAGGACAGGGCGCATTCAGCAAGCAAAAAATCAGGAGAAACCGTCGAGTCTTCGTCGACGGAAAATCAGCCAACTTTGACGAGTTTAAGCGGACAGCAGAGACGTGGGATCCCAAAGCGCAATACACCATTGGAACGGGATCAGAGCGAGGATTCATTAGAGCTAAACGGATCATCATTTGGAGGTTCGAGTGCAGATTTACACTCCAAAAATCAAGAGGGGGTGAATCTGCCCGCATCGTCTTCACCGTCGCCGCCGTTGCCTCCACCACCACCTGAACGTCAATCTTCAGTGCCTGCGCCACAAATGGATCACGACTCAGGCGAAGGGAAGCTGGAGAGTGCACCAAAGTTTGACGGGAGCGACTATTGGACTTGGAGCTTCCGATTCGAACAATAGGTAGAGGCGCACGATCTATGGGGGTACTTTGATGGCTCGGAGGAGCGACCTGCAACGGGTGACGCACGGCTGAAGTGGGAGAGGAAAAATCAGAAGGCATTCGCCCAATTTTGCAATGCCTTGGTGCCAGATGAGCTGATTCGCTTGGTATGGGAGTTCGGCGGCAAGAGCGAGTTGGGCAGCGCACCTTTTGATGGCGGAGCAAGAGCAGTCACCCGGGTTCCTGCAGGCACAGCAGCGGCATACACACGAGTGAAAGAGTTCTACCTTCAGCGTAGATTGTGTAATTGGATGGCACTCTCTGAGGAGCTCTCCTCATTGAAGATGAAAGAATGGGAGGGAGTGGCTGCATACTGGGCGCGTGTCGAGGACTTGAGGTCCAAGTACTTGGCTGCAGGAGGGAAGGAGGAGGTTGAGGAGTGGAAGATGAGGGTACTCAAAGGACTACCTCCTTACTTTGAGATGTTGAAGGTGGTGCTGAACAACCAGTCATCATCGCTCACTAAGGATCAGCTGCTTGCCTCCTTGAGGAGCGAGGAGATGCGGATTGGTGTCGCACCAAGATCGGAAGGTGTAGCCACTTTTGGAGCGGGTACGAAAGTGGGCAGCAGCGGCAGGGGAAATTAGGACAAGGGAGGAAAGCATGGAGGCAGTAGTAGCAGCAGTGACACCAACTCGAGCAGATGGGGTCAAGGAAACGGCAAAGCGGGAGTGCTTGATTTACCCTTGGGGTCCAAGGGCATGGCTCCTCGGGGGTTGTGTCATGGCTGTTGGGATGAGGGACATGCATGGCAGCGATGTCCTCATCGACCTAAGGGAGGCATTCCAACATTCTCAAAACGGGGGGGTTGTGGATCCAACGGCAAGGCAAAGGTGGCGGATGAGGAGGAGTAAGATGACAAGGCAGAGGCAGTGGTTGGAGAGGCAGTTGCAGCAGTAGGAGAGGAGCAGCCGCGAGAGGGGTGGTGGATTGACACTGGGGCCAGCCACAACTTTACTCCTTATGCATCGGACTTCCAAAGTAAGCTTCAGCCACAAGAGGTTCGGGGAGTTAGATTGGGAGATGGACGGGTGGTGAAAGCTGTTGGCACGGGTGAGGTGCCAGTGGTTGGTGCTGGAGGTCAGCTGCTGAGGATTAAAAAAGGTCCACCTTGTGCCTGAGATGCACACGCGTCTGCTGTCAGTCCCACACCTCAACTCTCGAGATGTCATTGTCATATTCAAGGGCACGAAATGCGTTCTTAAACGGGGGGAGAGGGTGTTGGCAATTGGAGAAAAGGAGAGGGGAAGGGACCATGGATTGGCGCGTATATCTCTTCCTCTTGCTCGGGGCACACAAGGCAGTGCTCTTACAGCTGGGTCCTCCTCCTCATTTTCCCCATTGACCCTTGCTCATCGTCGCCTTGGTCACACCGCCCCCACAACATTGCAACAGATGGCTTGGGGGAACAGTGTAATGGGCTTGGAGATCCGGGGGGGGAGCACTGATTGTTCCCCATGTGAGCCTTGCTTATTGGGAAAGTCGGCTCGGAAGCCGTTTCCCCACGAGGCGTCTTGGGCACTTGGGCCTTTGGATGAGGTCCACATGGATTTGTGGGGGCCAGTGCGCACACCGCCACTGGGAAGAGCGGTGTATGTCCTCAGTCTCATTGACGACTTCACCAGACGAGTTTGGTCGTTCCCACTCCCCAACAAGGAATCGACCACAGTCGTAAAAGTCATTCGCCAGTGGCATAAGGACGTGGAGTTGGAGTGTGGGCGGAAGCTGAAGGTTGTTCGCTCCGACAGGGGTGGCGAGTTCTCGGGGGACGCTGTGAAAGCATGGAAAGCGGAGTTTGGCATCAAAACCCAATTGAGAGTTGCAGATACACCGCAGCAGAATGGGGTCGTGGAGAGGTGGCACAGGACGATGGCAGAGGGGATTCGCACATTGTTGGTTGACAATGGTCTCCCTGCTCGCTTGTGGGGTGAAGCATTGATGTGGGTCGTGTGGGTTAAGAACAGGGTCATCCACAGTGCTTTGCCCGCCTCCATCACACCAATGGAGGCGTGGTCTAGCCAGAAGCCGCATGTGGGCATGGCTCGGATTTGGGGTTGCATGGGGAGTGTCATGCTGCATGGTCATGAGAAGGGTGGCAAGCTTGATGCACGGGCTGTCATGTGTGTGTGTGTTGGGGTGGACATGGAGAGCAAGGGTTGGCACATGCTGGACCCTTCTCTCATGCGCATTCACATTGCTCGGGATGTTGATTTTCTTGAGAATGTGATGTGGAAGGACTGGGACAAAGCAAAGGGATTTGGGGAGCTTCCGCAGGATGCAGCTGAGATTTCCCAACTCCTCCCTCTTCCACTCTCGCCACCCTTAGCAACGGTTGACGACGCTGAGATGCCATCTTCATCACTGCCACTGGCACCGCTGAGTGTGTCGGTGCAGCAGATGCCCACCCCCTCTGCAGCAGCTCAGTGGCCCCTCAGTCATCCAGAGGAGATCCGCTACACAGGCTACTTCCTCTTCCTCCTCCCTGGTCAGCGCTCTGTCCCTCTCTCTACGGGTGCCCCTCCGTCAGCAGTGACTACCTCCCCACCACCGGTTACGGGTTTGCAGATGCTTGGTATCCAGTCTGGTACAGGTGGTGAGGAGGTAGCGGGGGATGCTGGTGTGGTTGAGGGCATGCTGTGTTTGGCCAGGGAGGTGGAAGGTGTTGCACTGGCAGGTGTGAGTACCGGTGATGTCCCACGCACACTCGCTGAGGCCCTGCGTGGCCTTGAGGGCCCTGCATGGAAGGCAGGTGCTGAGAAGGAGGTAAATGCAATGCACACTATGGGTGTATGGGATCCAGAGCCGGTCGACTTACCTCCAGGTAAGAAGGTCATTGGGGTCAGGTACGTTTTCCGTAGGAAAACTGATAAGGAGGATAAGATGGTACAGCACAAGGTTCGCCTTGTTACTAAGGGGTACACTCAGAAGCCCGAGAAGGAATATGATCAAGTATTTTCCCCTGTGGGCAAGCTCACCTCAGGTCGGGTGCTTCTCGCAGAAGCCGCGGTAAAAGGGTGGCATATACAACAGGAGGATGTTGATCATGCTTACCTCAATGCAGTCCTTCAAGAGGAGGTGTATGTGAGGCAACCTGAGGGATTTGATGATGGTACAGGTAGGGTGTATCGCTTGCGTAAAGCTCTCTATGGGCTCAAGCAAGCGCCTTGTGTTTGGAATGAGGAGATTGGTACCATCCTGATAGCAGCAGGGTTTGACCGGAGTGCATGTGATGAGGCTCTATACATCAGGTTTGTGGGTGAAGAGCCAGTGTATGTATAGGTGTATGTGGATGACCTCTTGCTTGTGTCTCCACGCTTGGAGCTGATCGGTCAGGTCAATGAGGTGCTTGCTCAGAGGTACGAGATGAAGGATCTAGGTGGGGTATCCACGTACCTTAGTGTGGAGGTTCGCAGGTCGATCAAGGATGGGTGGTTGGAGATTGGTCAGGAGAAGTATGTCCGTGGTCTCCAGGGAAGATTTGGTGATCTGGTGAAGGAGACCCATAGGGTGCATACTCCAATGTCACCCAATGATCTCTCTAAGGTCAGGAATGGTACTTGATCGACTGAGGAAGGTGTTGCACCTGATGTCAAGGTGTACCAGAGTCTCATTGGCAGCTTGATGTATGCTGCTGCGACCACCCGTCCTGACATGTCTTTCACTCTCAACACCCTTGCATAGTCCTGCGTGGCACCAAGACGCATTCACATGCGCGCTGCACTGGGAGCACTCAGGTACTTGGTCGACACAGCTGATCGTGTCATCAGGGTCATCGTGTTATGAGCGCCAAGGTGGTGACCAGGTTGTTGGGTACACCGACTCAGATTGGGGTGGTGAGACTGACGGCAAGAGTCGCTCTGCCTACATCTTTAAGTTGGGAGGAGGAGCTATCAGCTGGTATAGCAAAAAGCAAAACAGTGTTGCAGCAAGTGTTTCTGAAGCTGAGTACTCAGCTCTATCGAAGGGGGCCAAGGAGTCAATTTGGTTTAGGAGTTAGTTGGCAGAGATGCATGTGGGGGATGGGGGGGCTATTCCATTGCTCTGTGATAATGAGGCTGCTGTCTCCCTTGCCCACAATCCCGTTCTCCATCAGCGCACCAAGCACATTAATGTGCCATGGCACTTTGTACGGGATGCGGTGCGCCAGCAGGAGGTCGAGGTGCACTCAGTACGCTCCCACCTCCAGGATGCGGACATGCTCACCAAAGCTCTTCCAAGCTTGCAGCTCCATGAGAACCTGGAGCGCATCGGCATGCGAGTGATGGCTGCAAAGGCCAAGACTTCATTCGGTGGAGGGGTTGTGTTTTGATTTATGGGTGAACTTAATGCTTATGGGAGCAAGGGGGGGTGTTGGAATTAAGGTTAATTCGGGTTGCTCCACTAAACATATGTAGTGGCAGATCTACACTATAGTAGTGTAGAATACACTGGTAGGGTTGAGAGAACTTGTGGTGTACACTCTTCAGAGTGGACCACCTCCCAAACCCTATAGGTTAGGGTTCTCTCTTGTTGGAACTTCACTTCTTTGAAACCACTTTGGTTCTAACATGGTTCATGCCCAAATGGGCTCCTAAGATACCTAGGTTTTAGGAGGAGGTTCTAAGACTACTAAAGCTTCCGCTAGTAGCTTAGTCCATTCTAACAACTACAGCGCGAAATGGGCTATTCTTTTTCGTCACCGGTCGCTCCCGAGGTGCCTACCCGTCCTGTCCCGGCATGCCCGTCGCGCTCTGCTCAGTCGCGCCCGAAGCGCCTGCCCGTCCCGTTCCGTCGTCGCCCTGCGCTCTGCCTGTCATGCCCATCGCATCCCCCGCTCGTCGCGCCCCCTATCGCTCCACACCTTCCCGTCGTCCGCGGCCCCCCACGTCGTTCCACGCTGTCCCGTCGTCCGCAGGCCCCTTGTGAGAGTACGATGGCTTATGCCAGCTATGCTTGCTTGCCTCTACTTTATTATGCTATTTCTAGCATAGGATAATCATATGCATGCATGAATTGCTTGATTTCCTAGGCTAGGTGCTTTCCTATATTTTATTATAGTTATAGCACCGAGCTAGGTTGCGCGCACCGAATTCTGGCCTTTTCGGTTGCCACCGAATTGCCTTCTACTGAATTCGGTAAGGGTCTGTTCGGGACGCTACGCGACCCGCGGAACCTTCACGTAACACCTGGTTACGGGGCTTTGTGTCGAGCCTATGTACAGCCTCGTGTTGTACCCAGGTGGTCATTCAATTCAATTCAATTACATTCTCTTTTCTGAGCTCGATCCTAGATTCTCACACTTGGTAATCAGAGCGGGTTTACACGCGAGGTCTTCAACCGCTTAGTTCCGGCCTTTAAAAAACCGCGGGGGCGACAACGAAAGCGCCGATACGGGTATGTAAAACCAGTTCCACGCTATTTTCTAAAATCCCCCTCGAACCGGTTTTTGAACACTCCTCAGGTCCAGTAGCAAAAAAGTTGGAACTTCGACCGTCGGATCGCTTCGAATCTCAACGGCCCTGAGAATTTCGCCCAAAAAAGTTGGAGTTTGGAGCGTCGGATCGAATTTCTTCTCAACGGCCAAGATCAGACGCGAATTTCGACTAAGGGAGAATAACGCGACCTACAGAATCAGCCCTCGTCATTTCTGCAGTCAACTCGACTCACAGTAAGATGACCAGCGCCTAAAATTCATTTGTTTTCGTCGCAAATCTTCCTATAAATCGCCAAATGGAGGAAAACGGTGATAATTCCGTACAGAATATTACAGATTTATACACCGACCTGGACCAGACGCGAGCGGCACTCCAGCGAATAGAGGAGCTTCTTGCAAACCAGTCGGCAGCCGCCATAGCAGCAGCGAACGCAGCAGCGAATGCAGCAGCGACGCCAACAGCAGCAGCGGTGACACCGACACTTAACCCAGCACCAGCGGCAGCGGCTACAGTGAATCTTGAGGCGGCACGTCCGAGGCTACCGGAGACGTTCAATCCGAATGCGAGAGACACTGACGTTCGTCGATTCATTGCGACTCTCGAAATTTACTTCGAGGCCGTTGGCTGTACGACCCCGACACACGATGCAATACGGATTCGGCTCGCAGCGACACTGTTACGAGGCCCAGCGCTCGAGTGGATTTACAACAGCAATAAGATCCAAGGCGAGGGGTCATGGACGCAGTTTCGGGAAGCGTTAATTCAACGTTTCGAACCAATCAACTCCAGCTATATGGCGCGTCAGCAGATTCATCGGCATAAACAGTTCGGCAGTGTAACACAGTACACGCAGCAGATGGAGAGCCTCTTCAACCGAATAACCGACCTGACCGAAGGGGAAAAAATCCAAGCGTATATTGAGGGGCTAAAGATGGAGGTCCACCGACAAGTGATTGCCGCGAACTACAACAATTACCGCGACTTGGTGTCTGCAGCAGAGAGATTCGATGCGCTGATGCGATATGAACCCGAGACACGACGCCATGTGCGGAACCGATCATTTGGCACGAAGCGATCGGCACCACCCACGACCGCCGACCTGATGGATATCGACAAGATCGACGCGAAGCAGCGGCCCACAAAATATGAGAAGTGCGAATTTTGCGGCGCAGCAGGACATCGACTCTTGGCGTGTTGGAAGTTGAAGAAGGTACGAGCGGAGCTGCAGGGCAACAACAGTTCTACATCCACGATGGCGAAAAAAGGAGGACACGATGGCACGAATTTAAAACGCCACGACCGGCCGGCAACAGGGGAAATCGCCGAGACAAATGGAGGCTCCGCGAAACAAGACTCTGCACCGACCGGGAAACTCCAGGCGAACACCCCCGAGAGTAAGAATATTCCCTCTCGAGGTTTTCAAGCCTTTAAAAAATTCAGGGGAGATTTCAAGGCCAAGAAAAAGCCTTCAGACATTATTCAGGTACCTGAGAAGTTGGGCAAACCACTCCGGAGCGTTGAAAAGGGTCGTGCGTTCCAAGGAGTTCATATTCTCTCCCCGCAGCATAGTGTTAAGGCTCCCCATTGCCCACAGGAGAAGCCTACACAGCTGCAAAGGCTTAAGGGAAGATTCCAGGCCATGACGAAGCTGAATCGGCCTCGGATAAATCCTTCTAACCCTACTCAGTTGGAAACTGATATGGAGTCAGCAGCTTCGAGCGCAGGACCGAAGAATGACCTATTCGACATACCCTACGATCCTATAAGCGAGACCATCTACGGTTACTCGGAGCAGCAACAACCACTACTACTCGAGGTGATCTACAACGGGCGATGCCTCCAGGCACTGGTGGACAGCGGTGCATCTCACTCAGTGTGTGACCGCGGAACGTTGGAGAAAATTGGAGAACCTTCGGAGGAGACCAAGTTCATGGCAACAATGGTGGACGGTACAAAACTTCCCATCCACGGCGAAGCATCACTGCAGCTGCACATAGGGGCGCTGAGGTGGAAGCGGACGTTGCCGATCACGAACATCAAGGGCTTAGATTTCATCTTGGGGCGAGATTTCTTGAAGCGGTTCAACCCCGAGATCGACTGGGTCAACAGGAAGGCGTGCATCTACAACAACGGGAAACGGGTAGAACTGCGAAGCTGGACGGATACAGGGAGCGTTCCTGAAACGACACTGGCACGGTTCGAACAGACGGTGAACGAGAGTAACACGGGTTACCTAGCACTGGTTATGGCAGCAGCAGAGGAGGAGAAGCCGAGTTCGGAGCTACCTGCAGCAATGAAGGAGGTCTTGGAGCAGTACAAGGATATAATGCCCGACGACCTACTTGCAGGCGTACCCCCTGCACGCACCCACGAACACGAGATCGTGGAGGAACCAGGTGCGAAACCCGTCTCACGTGCACCATACCGACTGAGTCCGACCGAACTGACAGATATAAAGAAACAGATCGAGTATCTACTGGACAGACAACTGATCCGACCCTCCACCTCTCCCTATGGCGCACCAGTTCTCTTGGTGGTTCAAACTCAATTCCCCTCACATCGTCCTCCCCGTAGACGTACCGTTGCCCTCGCTTCCCCCGTTTCCCCGTCGCCCTTACTCCTAAAATAACCGCGCCACCACACCGTCGCTCACGCCTTCCCCCACCTGCCCTCTGTGAGAATAAGCGAACAGGAATGGATGAACTAGAAGTGAAATGAGTACAAGTAGTAAACCCTAGAATTGTGTACCCCCTATAGGCTAACCCACTGTAGCCTACACAAGCATAACATATATAATGTTTGACACACCCCCATAGGCAAAGTGGGGGAGAACAAGGGGTCACAAGACCAGTCAAGCAAAGCAAAGCAAGCTCAGGGTGGATCACAAAGTCACCACACAGTCCGAGCACAAGAGCAGGGCCAGAGGCCAGTTCACATGCAGGAGTACAGACATATATATAAAACTAGACAAGCAAGAGCAGGTATATATATATGTCACAGTACAAGTAAAGTCAAGAGGAGAGCAAGTGAGGCAAGACAGACACAAGACCCAGCTGGGTGCAAAAGCGCTGATGATCACAAGGCGCGAGTGCCTTGGTGAACACATCAGCAGTGTTGGCCTCAGAGGCCACGTACGCAAGTCGCAAC